GTTTACGCTTTTTGCTTCGTGACTTATTCGTCGTCCTTTTATCGGAGTTCTTATTGCCGCCAATCAAACTAATTGGTGGCGGAGTGCTGAGAATATGCCGTGGACTCGCCATGCCGGCATTTTTGAAACTATCATTGAATGCAATCGTTACATCGATAATCTTTTAGTTACAGGGCCCCAGGAATTCAGGGTGAATACGCGCCTAGATGTGTGCGTTGAAAATATGTTGCGATACAAAGACGCTTTACTCAGCTCTGGACGCCTTTAATGGTGCGCAATTATGTAGGCTGAGGCTGAACCGTCATGTGGCCGCAATGATATATAGTGGATGTCGTTCTATTTGCGCGATTATACCTACACGAATGCGTCTCTTCTCATATCGGGGTTCTCGGAACGCTTTATTTCGTTTGGTTCAACGGTTGTTTTCTGTGCGATATAGATGACATCGAAGTTTATGTATAATCGACGGGGTGAAGATGGAAGTTGTAGTTAGTCTTTGCTTGCGCATCTTGGTACCGAGACAAAAAAGCTGTTGCTTTTTTTTTAAAGATGACCGTCGCCGCTACCGCCACCTCATCATCCCCTGTTGCCACTTCTTGCGAGTGTATTACACCGACCGTGGAAGTATGCTCGAAATATACTCTGAAACTAGAGCTGGCGTCACGATTCTTAATCACAAATTGATACCGCTCTTCATCTACATCTCTGAGTGTCTGCAATAAAGTGTAAAGTCCACGACAATTGATGAGCGACTTTGGTTTCTTTTTTTCTTTTCACGGAGTCTGTACTTCTAGTTACTAATGTGTCATTCAGATGTCCTATATCTGTTTTCAGTGTGTGTGTGTGTGTGTGCGTGCGTGTGTGTGCGTGTGTGTGTGTGTGTGTGTATGTGAGTGTGCGTGTGTGTGCGTGTGTGTGTTTTTCTTTTCGTCTTCGCACACACCCTTTAAATGTAGAGGAAATGAATGAAGAAATTGCGCGTATGCCAGAGCCCACGCATTGGATATTGTAGTAGAAATGTCTCCATCGAAACGGACCCATAGATGTCCCAACACTCAAAGTGATTAGCAAAACATCGAAAGTATTGTTTTATGTGTGGGAGCGTGTGTTTTTATGACTGTGTCGAGCAAGGGCGATGATTGAGAAATATCGATGTAAAATACAAAATCGCGTCTAATGCAAATAAATTATTTCGTTTTGTTTTAGTGCTTGATCTCACACAGCTTATTTTATGCAACTAGCATGATTAATTCTTTAGACAATGCATTTAGGAATGTCCATCAACTGGCCATTTATAAAATTTGTCCTGCATTTCCGATACCTTTTTTCATGGGTGATGTCGCTGAGGATATTTCTCTCTTGTTCAAGCATGTTTCTAGTTCCTGCAGGTTACAGATCATCATTAACATCGTAATGATCAAAGATAATGTACAAGCCGCAGGATAGAGATAATATATTCTGCGGCTCGGTTGACCTTGCCCTGCCAAAGGGATCTTTGCAACTACCAATGTAGGATACTGTAATAGGCACAGTTCAGCATAAATTAAGTCACATCTTGTATTTTCCGCACTCTATGGGCTAGACCTGGTGCAACGCTCCAGGAGAAGGACGTGACCTGCGTTGGTACTTTGAGCATATGCAAGGTCAGCCGCACAGTGTCAGCTCAGTCTGCACTTTTTAAGGTTACCTTCGTACCCTGGTCTCCTATAGACATTGCAATTATTATCATCATCAGCGTTTCTTTATTCATTGCTATATTATCAGTTAGCACACATCTAAACCATACGAGGGTTTCCAAAAGTCCGGTCACCAAAAATTTATCTGTTCTGAAAATGTCAGGAAACGCTTTATTTATGGTATCTAACTCACAGGAGTTAACTTCAGCTTCTTTTAACATAATCACCAGCCACCTCGAGGCACTTTTGCATTCGATAAATCCAACGGTCGAAACAACGCTGGAAATTATCCGGTTTCAGGGGAGAAAACTGCTCCACAACAGCGAAAATAAGGTCTTCTCTTGTCTCAAACACTTTTCCCCGGAAGGGTTCCTTCAGTTTGGGGAATAGCCAAAAGTTACAGGGCGCCAAGTCAGGGGAATAGGCGGGTGGAGTCAGAAGATCATTTCCGAAATCTGGATGAAGTTCAACGTTTGAGAAGGTGCGTTGTCGTGGCGGAGGATGTTTCGACACAGTTTTTTCTTGGGGCGACCTCCAAGAAGACTTTGCGAAAACTTTCGGCAGGCACACTTCTGTGTATCATTCAGAATTCACAGTTCGCCTCTCCTCAAGAGGGGGCAGAGGGTGTTGGCCATTTTCTGCAATGTAGGCCATTTTCTCATGATCCGGAGAAAATGGCCAACATTGTCCTGCCAGCCGTTCCAGCCCGGCGAAATTTCCTCGGTGGCGGCGCTCTTTTTGTCGACCACATCATGGATTGAGACTTGGTTTCAGGGTCCCTGTTGTAAAACCAGGCCTCACCACCAGTCAAAACTTACTTCAAAGCAGGAGACTTTGCGTCCTTGAATCTTTGGAGGCACTGGCGGCAAAGGATCACGCGGGATGCTTTGTGCTCTGGAATCAGCTGTGAGGAACCCATTCGGCAGAATTTTTTTTTCTTGTAACCATGGTTTTCAGTGGAGATTCTCAAAATTGACGTGGCATCTATATCAAGTAGATCCTTCAAATTCTCCAGTGTAAACTGACCGTCTTCCTCATGCACCGCTTTCACAGCGGACAGATTTTCATCGTGGGTTGCCGTTTAGTGGGCTCGCTTTACGGCGGGCGTCCTCTACAGAAAAGTTTCCACTCCGAAAACGAATGAACCACCTAGCAATACTCGAGGGGGTCGGGGCTTCATCTCCCATAACATATTTTAGCTTCACGATGCACTATGTAGGCTTTACAGAAGACAGGAAGTCGAAAGTATTGAACGAACGCACGAACTCCTACGTGAGCGCAGGTTTTTTCAAACTGCCGCAAGTACTCGAATCTGATTTTCGTCTCCATAGCTTCCAGTGGTCGAAAAAACAACTTAGATTAAAAAGACCAAGCAAAATAATATTAAAAAAATTCCAAGCACCTTTAAAAGTTGAAAGTGCTCGAGCAACCGAACTTTTGAGAAACCGTAAAGAAGGAAAAAAAAGCTATAGACTAAAATAGACCCTCATGCAATAACTTTTTTTGTCTTTTTTTTTAACGAGTTGAATTTTTAAAATGGTCTCTCCGCAATGTCGGCAGGCAAGTTGACGCCTATACGCACTTTGTTCTACAGGCTAGTTTATTTCATGTACACACTAGAAAAGACTACCTGCTTGCAATTTTAACTTCGATTAGGTGGTGGCAAAACGCATGGTATTGTAGCCGGCTAGGGAAATCATTTTCCATTATTAAAAACAAAACGAATAGCTTTTTTTGTTGTTGTTGTTTTTTCGCAAGATTGCACGATGTTTGGTAGCAAGTTGAGCCGGCCTGGACCCGTCAAATGAGGTGCCGCCAATTCGGAGCGATCGCCGTGGCGCTTCGCCTTCCCTCTCCAGTCGCGTGTCATTGAGTGTTCGGTCGTGCCTCGACCGCCGCTTGTTTCGAGAGGAGCGGCGCCTGGACTTTCCTGGTGCGATCGAAATTCGGGATAGTGGCGAGCTTCGGGGGCTGCCAGCAGAGAACTCTTCCTCGTGCTGCCGCGCGACGCTCTTCTTTCAAACTGCCTGCCGATTGTTTAGGCAGTCAACAAGCGGGTATAAATATCGCTCTGCCGTAGACTGGGTCACAAAAGCTATCGGGCCCAATTTTAAAAAGATGCACCCGCAGATATAGGCGCTAAATTGTTTTCTAATAAACAGCTGCGACAAACGATTTTTTTTCTTTTTTTGGTCGACAGAGCGGAGTTTATTGACGAAAGATTCCGAGACTAGGGCAAAATAGGGTACAGGATAAACACGAAGTCTGTGTTGTTCGTAATTATGTTCATTTTAGAGCAGCTAGTTTTAGTACTTATACTTTTGCTCAAATCGAAGCGCTTTTTGGGGGGTCCTAGCAATTTTCCTTGGTACACCGTAAGTTCATAAACATATTTTTTTTCTTTTGTTAGTTTGTGACACTCAAACCCGAAATTAAGGCCGAGTTCTAAAATGTAGTCGGTCTTATTTAAGAATAAAGGCTGAAATACACGTGAAAAACAATTCGAAATCCTGACGAAAATCCGAGCTTGCGAACATCGTACGATTTTCGACGAACGTGTGGACTTATGGCGCGCAAGCCTGAAATATATTATGTTCGCAATTATCATACTGCAAGGTACGAAAATTGAAGTCGACCATCTGATCGACCTCGCGAACGCACGCGTGATCGGCGCCGAGCCTCATTTTCGGAAAAGACTTTTGCTGAAGTCGTGGCACATTCATCATACTCCAGGAAGATTAAAAGATACCTGTGTGCCTTGCCATCTGTATAAGCCCGGGGCATACGCCACCTGACAAGAACAATAAACAAAAGACCCTCACTGCAAAAAAAGTACTTTGTTTTGACATGGCAGGCAAAGATTAGACCTGCTGCAGCCCGTGCTACTGCCCCTTGCATTCAGTCCTCCCTAAAAAAGAAACCAAGCAGGTTTCTAAACGTTTGTTAATTTTCTCAAGGATTTGGTTGGAGTAGTTTCTTTTCATTACTTGTAATGAGCTGCTTTATACTCAAGAGTAGTACCACAATCATAAACCAATCATTACTCGAGTCTCTGTTTTCCCTCTCCCAGCTTGATCGTGCGACCTCACTTGCTGCTCCCGCGAAGTCAAAATACTATGCCGGTAAAAAGTATCTAAATATTCAACAAATCACAGCTTTTGCGTTAGAGATTCGAAGAAACTGGTATGTCATTCAAATTCCTGGAAAGTGACTCACGGTAACTTCTACTGAATGCCCTGCACTCTGCATTTCACTTGCACTGCCACCGTGCTATTTGCTTTCGCGTCGGCGGTGGGTAAAAGTTTCCTCTGTAGTTTTCGGTTTATCGCTTCTCGGCCTTTTAGGGCTCTGATCGTTTTTTAGTATCTGTTCTTATCAGCTTAATATCTGATACGGTCCCTATATGGGTCCGTGATATTAGCCTTATTTTTGTAACTTGGCGGGGTTGCTGGGCTTGCCCAGTTCCTGCCAGGGTCTGCCCGGTATTGCACTACGACCGGGATTGGCCCAGTTCCTCCGGGAACACAATATTCAATCCACAATAAGACTGATACAATATTTTGGGTACTCTCCTCCGATTTCTCTTTCATGGCCAATCTACCATCTGTTCCTGCTCTCACTAATAGCCTGCCGGCAACAGCCAGGCACCGTCAGCAGAGTGGGAGCCCACCGTTACACCCTGCCTCGTCACTTGGTAAATGGTGAACGATAAGCCCCACACTGCGTGTAGACGGCTTCGATAAACGCTACGCGTACGATCGCAACGGACACATAATGGAGCATGACGCAGCGAAAAGTCTGATACCTCTTCGTACTAAAAGCGCACTCCGGTTATACGAAGTCACGTTCTAATTGGCCCGCGTGGGCCGTAGCTTCCGCCGTACTGGCATTTTATGCGATCACGGCCTCCTGACCTACCCAGTATTTCTTGCTTCAGACGCAAGGCTAAGCGGCACCACCAGAGTAATAGCTCCGTTTTAACAATGCAGCCGCCACTCTTAGTCATACCTAATGTTTCTCGCTTCAGTCGCTAGATTGCGTCAAACCAAACAGCATTGCACGTTGCCTATAGAGAAGTGTAGCCATAAAGATGGAGAAAGCCGGGTTTTTAATGCGTTATCAATAGACTGCTCATTTTGAGGAAAACCCCGCGGTGTCTTCCGGTTGTCAGCGCCGGGTAGAGAGAGAAAAAAGGAGGGGGGGGAGGGTGACACGTGCGACGCTCCGGTAGGTCTTTAATGCACAGGTGCAGGCGAACTGGACAGAATAAGCGATACCAATCCCTGGAGAAGGGGAGCAAAGGAGACAAAGGACAAACCCAAATCTCCAAACACAGCTAGGCGACTGGAACGCGCTAAAACAATCCGCCTAGTCCTGGAATCAAACCAGGGACCTCTTCAATTCCGGTGGAGCGCTCTACCAACTGAGCGAACCAGGTGAGAGACTTTTTCAGCGTGCCCCAGCCTCCTATAGCTGTGTTTTGTCCCCTTTGTCCTCCTACTCCAGGCAGGCACGTAGCCAGGGGGGGAGGCATGGGGCCCCCCAAAAAATCTCCCATTTTGCTGGGACCTCCTCGCCCCCCTCGCCCTTATACAGCATTTTGTCATGGGCGGCCCCCGCCCCCCGTCCCCCGAAACAAAATCCTGGCTACGTGCCTGACTCCAGGGATTATTATCGCCCATTGGTCCCAAGTGCTGGTGTCAGCACGCGTCGACCTCTCCCTCTCTCCCCGGCGCTGTCAAACTGACAGACACCGCCGGGGTTTTGTCAAAACGAGCCCTTCCGTTTTCGTCAAAGTCACGCTCAGAGCTGACCCGGAGCCACGGAGGAGGACGCGCCGCGCCGCGGTGGAATGCGGGCATGCTCAGTTGCCGCTCTGCCAACACCGGTTGTTCTTCGCTCTGGGTCTCCGTAGTAGCGGTGCGTGAGCTGTAATGTATGTGTGTAGTTGAGGCGATTACTGCGGTTCCCTGCCCAAGTGATATGGATACGGTTCCTTCCACGAGTGGTATGGATGTGGTTCTTTCCACGAGTGGTATGGATGACCGTGTACAAGGGAGTCAGTCGACGTACTCTGACAAGCAGAGTACAGAAAAGGGATGAAAAAATTGAACGGAAGATACGTTGGTGGATATTTAGGGAATGCGTTAGCAAGACCCCTGGGGAACGCCACACACGTCCCCCGCAGGGAAACGCTAACACTGATCCCGTAATGAGGCCAAAAAGAGGCAGAAACAACAGAAGGAGAAAAGAGAAAGCCAAAACAGAAAAGTGAAGGAATCAGCGTTAGCCATTCCCAAAGGTGGAAGTTTGTGGCGTTTTTCGGGGGTCATGCTCACGCATTCCCTAAAAATCAACCAGTGAACCTTCTTATAATATTTTTTCTCGCTTCTCCCGCAAACTGTGAAACAAATAAGAGGTGGTTCTTTGTGTGGCTGCTAGGAATCTTGAGTGGTGCTGACTCGTGAATGAACCCTTTTGTATACGTTGTGCAATGGAAATTTGTCGTGGTTTGAGGTGCAATGCACGTACGTCGCAAATCGATGGATTTGATTAACATTTTGGAGTAAGCCTCGACGCACGCGTACAACCACGGCCTCCGATATAGGAGTGAAAAGCCTACACCTTACGCAACAGACCCGGTCCCGAAACTGTGAGGGAGAGAACGCAGAACAGGACAGAAAGAGGGAATGAGGTCAGTGGCACCCTGACCAATCCCTTGGCCCTTCCAAAGCCTTCCTCTATTTTTTTAACGTTTTTGTTTTTATTTATTTTTACCTACTATTTACTTAACTGCCTTCGCCATTCACTCGGCGTATCATTTCTCCTGTTCCTACTCCACTAGAAGAGGAGGGTAAACCTAAGAAAGGAAGTATGAAGGAGGCAGGGTTTTTTTTCTCGCTTCTCCTGGAAAATGGAAAAAAAGGGGAGGTGGTCCCTCGTGCGGCCACAAGAATTCCTGAGTGGTGCTGTTTTCAAAAACGTCTCCCGCGCCTGCCGCTGATGCACGCACTTTTCTCGCGACCGTCCATTGTTCGGGTACAAAAGACACAGGCTTTACCCGTATTGGAGACGTGCGCCACCTAAAGCGGTCGCTGTGATCGGCCTTCCAGGATTGGCCAATCGCCTATTACGACGTCTTGAGTAGGACTATTTCTGCTTTCGACAACGGAAATGAGTCAGACTCTCAATTCTGACGGTATTGCTTTAGAAACGTGACGACTATGCTTCCACTGCGCTTTTTACGCACCGTCGAACTTGTCGTTCGTTGTCTTGGTCGTGACATCAAGGATAAAAACCATAAAGGGGAGCCCCCCAAACAGCTCTAGACCGTTTAATCATGGCGCCATTTTGAATACTGTCGCGCCATCTCGCGAGCGTCAGGTTCCGCGGACATGCCGAGTGGCTTGAGTGGTGACATCTCAGCCATTTTTCCGCCCAATCTTTTTTTTTTTTTTATGCATTTTGAAGTGCGCGCAATCCGGTGTCACTCAGCTCGAGCGCGTAGCTTTGGCCAATGCATAGACGCTATTTTACCGCCCAAGTCACGCACCCAGTGCGCCAGAGTTTCACGCGCTGGCACATTCAGGGCAACAGTGGATGTCTTCACCCTGAGACAGGGAGACATGAAGGCACCCTAGGCGAGAGTGCTCTTCGGGCGCCGCTCCCGCGTCGGGTGTACAGGATGGGTGCTCCAAAGTGCTGGCTGTCCGACTTTGGGAGCATCTTGTGTTCTTGTGTGCAGCGGACGGCGTTTTTCAACTTATTGGGAAAGTGTCTTGCCCCGTATTATGGCATTCGCCAATGCGGCGATGCTTAGAAGAGCGGTACTGAACGCGACAGCGATAGAAATCGGAAGTGAGTACTCAACATTTTGTATCAGTTTACAGCGATTGAATATTCCTTCAGAATTTTTGTTGTTTTATATGCGGTACACCCAGATTAACTTTAGCTTTTCGTGTCGTTCGCAATAATGACATAAGGCGAGCAAGGCCGGGAAATATAAGAGCATTGCAGGGAACGATCGAAGGCAGCTCCCTGCAGCTTGCAGATGTTTATAAAAGTTATAATAGAGGAAACCGTGTCCACTAGTGTGTCCTTTGTCTAGAACTGAAAACAGCGAAGTCGAGATGGACGCATTGCCGGTGCGAGTTAGTCAATCATTGAACGATTCGAAATTGATGCATGAGCGAGCACGTTTCAGCACTAGTAATTGAAGTTTTCTTTTCAGCTACATTATGTACTAATTTGCAAAATAAGAAGAACCCAGTCGCGTTGGGACGGTGAACATAAGTTCAGGGCTCTCTACCATCGCTGAAAAGATCGCGATTAAGAAAAAAAAAATCGAACTAACTTTTCGACAATTTCCAGCCGAACGCGGCGACGAAAATGAGCCTACAACCATAGCCACGTGTATGCTGATAATCCCTGCCCAATCGCCAGTTGCGAGCTATCACCACAAGGGTACACCACTTGTTCATATAGGACGGAACATGGGAACGATGTCAAGGAGCCTCTCTCGTGCGTTCTTGCATTCATGGTGCTGTTTTTTTGCATTTGTCGTGGAAGCTCTGGGCGACAACGTGACGGGGCTGTTCTTCTACAAGACCGCAGCAACAGGAGGGACCATGAAAAGTGACTTGAGCTCATTATGAGAAATGACTAGGTCCCATATCTTACCTCCGGCTACTCAACGGTGTGCGGTAACCACTTTATGCATAGGGCATTAAAGGAGCTGTGTAACAGTTCCAGTGCTTTGCTTAAATAATTTGGGAGTTGGTGTCTTGGCCTTTCTGAAGTAAAGAACAAAAAACCGCTTTTGCCTGCATGTCATAGTTTTCATTTTAAAAATGGACAAAGATTAAAGTTTTTGGCACCTCTCAACTCCTTCACCATCTTCCGAGTCACGTGCACTGTAACGTCAATGGGGTTTGCGAGGGGTTCCGGTGAAGCTCTCTCTCTAGAGCCATCAGTGAGCAGCAAGAACTCATCCGCTCGCGACCGCGTGACCACGTGCTGGCGGGCGCAGCGCGAACAATATGGTGAAAGTAGGAAATTCTCATTCGGGACCCGCCATCCCCGTCCGGCGCTGTCCCCCTCCCTCTCCGGTACAGTTGCCTCTCCGGCTTCTGGCGGCTGTTCGCGGTAGCAGATAGAGCTGACGGTTTTGTGGTCCTAGGATAGATGGCGCCACTGAACCCCGGTATAATAAAAGTTTTGTTGATGATACCAGGCTTTTGACACATTTATATTTATGTAGGAACGACAAGATTTATAGAAAATTTACCTTTTATCGAGCAAGTATTCGCACAACTTGCTATTTTTCTACAAGACCCCCCCATTGACGTCACGCCGCGTGTTTCTCAGGGCCGCCGCTCGCGGTTGCAGGTCGGGGAACATTCTCATTTTTGCCCCGTAATTATGCGGCGGAATCGCAACAGTTTGAAGGAAGGAGGTGTGCTTTCTGCTCTTTGTGACAAGGTGAACAATGTCAAAAGTAGAAGATGCCGATTCTT